TTGACACTGTGGCGTGCAAATATGGACTTGCAATACATAGCTGACAGGAGTCTTTCCTTAACAGAGTATGTATGGATATGTCACTACAACAGAACAAAGTCATGCACAGGACTTATGGGATGAAGTCAGCAGCTGTGACAAAATATAAAGCAGGATTTGGAAAATTGGACAAAAATTACTTCAAGCTAAAGAAGTAGGACTATATGACGCTAGCGATCTTCTTCTTGGTGAAAGTTTATACATGAAATCAGTAACCATACAGTACGTTAATGTGTACTTGCCTCATAAAAGGAGCAGAAGAATAAAACTATTCATAATTAACTAAAAGATATCGATCTTTGAAAAATATTTTTAATCCTAGTATATTTGAAGACTTTTATCCAACAAGACCAAATAGCATGAAAGATGTATCTTTACGAATCTGTTGCTAATTACAAATTTGATAAAATAGGAGAAAATGGAGAAAAAGAATACAAACTTTGATCAAAACCAGTCCTTCCAAACCATAGGAAATTTAATCCTATGCAAGAAGCAGAAAGAGATGATTTTTATTACTTGCTAATATTTTTATTTGTGCCTTGTAGAGATGAGAGCACACTCGTAATGGAAGGAAAAACAATGGAAGAAGTTTTTAGGCATCACAGAGAAGCATCTATACATGGCATTGAGAATCATTTTAACAAACTGCAGAAATTATTAGAAGCTGAATGTAATTGGAAGAAAATAGTCAATGCAAGAAATAAAGCTGGTTTCACTGAAGAACTTGATAACAAGGAAGATGGTGAGCCTCAATTACTGGGTGAAATAGTGGAAGCAGTAGATGATATTGCTGACATGCACAAAAATGTACTTAATTTAACATTTGAGCAAAGAGAGGCAATGCTTACTGTAGACCAAAAAAAGAATTTTTGATAAAATTAAGTCATTTTTTAAGTCAAAAAGAACATGAAGACTTATTAGAGAATGAGTCTGCAAGACGACTTAGATTAGATAATATCAAACCACTAAGGATGTTTATTAGTGGTGTAGGTGGAACTGGTAAATCGTTTCTAATAGAGGCAATAAAATGCCTAGTGGATGACATATGGCATCCAAAAAGTGGAGAAATTATGTGTGCTATAGCAGCACCAACAGGTATAGCTGCATTTAATGTAGGTGGACTAACAATACATAGATTATTTCAGCTACCAATAGAGCACGAAGGAAAAACAGCTGGATATTGGGCTTTGAATAAAGAAGCTC